GATCTCTGTTGTTAATACTGCTGGAAAAAAAAAGCATTTGACTGCTGTTTTGCTCTCTATTGCCATAATCGTCCTTCTAAAGCGTTTGTGCCATAGTACATGGTTTTCTTGCAAAATGAAATTTGGAGATTCTTGGTTAGATCTGAGCCCACTGTTAAATAGTTTTATGCACATGTAAGTGGCAGGGGCTGTACAGTAATGGTTCTGTTTACATTTTACAGGTGAATAAAATCATTGCAATTAAAAATTTCTTTGAGAGCTAGGAAGGAAGACAAAGCTATGGAGAAGTGTCTGTTGAAGAAGTATGCTTGTTGATTAGCAAAGAAGTTTGTGGTTAGATATGCTTTGTTAGTGTTTAGTTTTATAGAGGCAGCACTAGCGGTCACATTTTCTGAGAGGTAACAATTATCTGAATTATAGCTTAGGTTTTATTCAAATATTTTAAGGTAAAAGTACCATATTTAATTCTACATATGGAGACTTTTTTGTTGCAGCTAATTCACTCATTCCCACTGCCTATGACTCAGTTCTGGTGTTATAGCCCACTTCCAGGCTTTCACAACTATTATTTTTGGCAGCTAATATTGCCCAGAGCTACCATCTTTCCTTAAACTTATCCAGATCAGGCATTAGTAATAAACCCCTTAGAACAAATAAAGCTAGATATGTAGGAATCAAAGATTCTAAGTCAACTAAGTCTTTTGCAAGCTTCAAACTACAAAGCTTACAGTTTGGACAGTCCCAAAGCATGAGCTGTATTTTGTGTAGGCAATCACATGAAGTTTGACTTCGACTTTTTACTTCTAATGTGCAGATGATGTCTTGAAACATACTGTCTCTCGCTCTGGTAGATTTCTTGACATATTAGAACACAGTTAGGAAAAAATTCGTGAGCAAAAATAAAGAGGAATAATCTTTTCAACATGCTTTCCAGCCTGCTTTAATTGTTAGGTGGTATGTTCTTTCTGGCTACTCGTACTCCTGAGTCCAGTGGTCATTCCTGTGCCTTTCCAAGTTCTTCATAATTCACTGAAGAGGTTACCATGAAGTTCCTGAAAGGCAAATACACTATGTTAGGTTATAACTGAGCCTGAAGAGGAATTATTACTTCTTTATGGTGTAATAATTGTTTTTATCATTTTACTTTGCCATCTTTTCCTCAAGATAAGTTTCAATATTTCCACCACCTACTGAGTGGGTGGAAATATTGAAGTACCTACTTCTTCTTTTTTTAACAATATATATGAAATCTATTTGGGTTTTTTTTCAAGTTTCGATCTGCCTTTATTTTCAATCTTTATTTTCAATCTCTCTATATTACTTTCATCTGGCCTTACTGATCGTTTTATGTTTTTTGTATTGTAGTGCCACTTACGAAATTCCTTTATTGTGCTCTTTATCTTGTTCTTCCAGCTCATTAATCTTAGTGGGAATAGAATTCATCACCTTGCTTAGCCTCTTCTACAATGCCCACTACTTGCCGTTCTGATCCAATTTTGTGAGATTCTCATTAGGGAGACTTGCATATTAAAAAAAAAAAGTTTTGTTGTGAGATGTAATCTAAAAGAAATAAATATCCTAAATAATAGGATAGCTTTACAAAATTTTTGTTGCACACATGTTACTCAACAGCATTGACAGGAAAAGATAACTTAGGTGGTGATAGGCAATAGGAAGCACAAGACCAAACCAAGTATTCAAATATATTGAATCAGACTCCTAAAAAATCTCAAGGTATTTTAAGGACTGAGATTTAAAAATATGCAGAAATAAATACTGCTGTATGTTGAAGTACCTGTGCAACCGCAAAGGCTGCAACCTTTTGTCAGAAATTATACAGCTCCTTTTGTAATGATATAATTCCAAGACCTTATGCTATAGGAAATATGCCAAGTATTGCAATACTTTAAATAAAATAAAATTTTTTCTCACCAATGGAGACTGTGGAGGTTTAGAAAAGAAGTATGTGAGTGTGAAGGACTCCACAATGTAGTATGAAAGATAACGGATGATGGAAGTTGCTGTTTACGTGTTCATAGTTAACATAGGGGAATTCCTTGGGTATATCCATAATTGAAGGTGTCGTGGTTTAACCTCAGCTGGCAACTGAGCACCACGCAGCTGCTCGCTCACTCTCCCCCCTCCCCTGGTGGGATGGGGGAGAGAATGGGAAGAGTAAAAGTGAGAAAACTCGTGAGTTGAGATAAAGACAGTTTAATAATTGAAATAAAATAATAATAATAGAATATACAAAGCAAGTGATGCACAATGCAATTGCTCACCACCCACCAACCGATGCCCAGCCAGTCCCCGAGCAGCGGCCCCCCCGGCCAGCTTTCCCCCAGTTTATGTACTGAGCATGACGTCACATGGTATGGAATGTCCCTTTGGCCAGTTGGGGTCAGCTGTCCTGGCTGTGCCCCCTCCCAGCTTCTTGTGCCCCTCCAGCCTTCTCAGTCGGTAGAGCATGGGAAGCTGAAAAGTCCTTGACTAGTGTAAGCACTACTTAGCAACAACTAAGACATCAGTGTGTTATCAACATTATTCTCATGCTAAATCCAAAACACAGCACTGTACCAGCTACTAGGAAGAAAATTAACTCTATCCCAGCTGAAACCAGGACAGAAGGGTAGGAATATTACTGTGCTATTGCAATTTTGAGTGTTTGTCCACAGGCATTAAAAGTTAAAATAATTCAACACTGAGAAGTTTTGAAGAAATCTAAAACTCTATAATGACACTAAAAGCAAAAAGAATAAATATAGTGTGACTTTGAAATATGGCTACAAACACAATAATGCAATATTTCATCTTGCTGCTGTTGTGCACAGCACTGTGGTAGAGTTAGCAACACAGAACCAAGAAAGATGTTTTCTGGGTCATCAAGCCCAGCCTCCTCCCATCGGGGCAATGCTGATTACTGTCTCCATCTTACTAACAAATCAAGCTTTTAAAAGCAGCTGTTATGAGCACCAAGGCTGTCCTCGAACCTCCCTCTCTTTTTCTCTTCAGCTTTCTAGCCTTACATTTTACTCATAGAGCAACTCAGTTTTGGCCCATAGTTTCTATAGACCTTTTCCTCTATTAACTGTTTCTCTCCTGAGGTGTCTGGGTAGAGCAATCATGTTCCTTTTGTTCTCCTTCACTTGGTCCTCAACTCTGCACAGATCCGAGTGTGAGTTAATGCACTTTTAACATAATAACTGGAAATGTGTGCCATATTCCAGATAAGGCCCCACTGGTGTCTTATACAAGTCGATTAATATTTGTCCCTTGCTTTTGGAAATATCTCACCTGATGCCTCTCAGGATGGCATTTGTTTTTTCCAGACATCATCATACTGCCTCATAATTTTCCAGCTGACATTTACATATCTTCACCATTTCCAATTAAATATGTAGCTTATAGACAAATGTGTTGCTATCTTTATGTATATGACGTGTGCTTTTTGATGTTAAATCAATCCCTTTTCCTCAGACTCAAGTCTTTGAAATTAAATCAGCACTCCTCATTCATATTGCTATGGTACTCTCTTATACACGTTACTGGCATCAGAGTTTTGCTGGCAGTCATCAGATACTTTTTTCTTTCTTTTTTTTTCCCCACATATCCTGACCTAAAAAAATTTCAGTGACTGTAGTTGGTTTTTTCAATCTTCAGGTACCATTGTGACTTGACAGATGTAGTAAAAATCCATGTTTCAGACTCTGTGGTTCCACATGTTAATTCTTCCAGAATTCTTTGGTGATTATTTATGTTCCCTTGTCCTCCCCAGCTTGAACCACTGAGCTCCCTGAATTTTCCTTTTTAACCTTCATTCCTGTTAATTAATCAGCCTGCTGTCGCCTCCATGTGCATTATAGTCCTTACTGAGTAACAAGGAAGAATACTTATAGAGCTTTTTCTAGCTGTGCCTAGATTTGCTTGCATCTCTACCACATTCTTACTTTTTTCCTGGTTATTTATATATGTATGTCTACACACAGACACACAGGGATAAAAAAGGTAATAGCACTTACATATGCATTTTTTTACTATTTGCTTTATGTTAGCTTGACTTCTAGTATTTCTTGATCATGTACAAGTGCCGTAACTGTGGTTTTCTGTACCTTAATTCTAAAATCTTCATATCTTACTGAGTTTGCCTTTGTTTTAAATTCATATTCTCATTCACTTTCATGCAATTACCAAAAATAAAAAAGGCCTAAGACATACTCCTTTAAAATCTATGCTTTTATTAAAATTTGTTTTCTATTTTCTTTAGAAATGTCTCTAATAACATTCTCTCCAGTTCAGTGATGCATCCAGCAATAATCCAAGTGGGTTATTTACAGACTTAAAATTAGGGATGTGATTAAACTGAAGCTACTATGTATTTATTGGGTTTGGGTTTTCAAAATCACAACAGTTCTCTAAATAGCATATTCCATGAAAGAAAAGATCATGTAATTACAAGTACTTCATGATTTGTCCCAGGATTTTTATTCATGTGTTGGCCCACCACAAGGCATTGTGTTGCCTATCATCAATTTTACTCTGCATTTTTGATCATTTAAATATGACAATAAGTGGGTAATTAATAAATCGATATTTTGTTATGTAATAAAATTAAAAGAACTAGTTCAAGGAAAAAAAAATTTAATGATGATTAGAATGTCCTTGATACCATGATGTGATGACATCTGATGGATTTTTGGCTGCATAATACAAATAATGATTATTTGAATTGTCTTTGTTATTCTTGGGTACTGTGGAACAAGTAGCTATTTCTGTACCTAGTAAGAGAAAGTTTGAAGTGTTATACTGCAATGAAGTTCTAAAAACATTTTAATTTAAGTCAAAACAGCACAGAATCCGAGTAATGGTTGCAATTCTGATTTTCTATATGACAGCTTACTTTTATTTAGTTTAGTTAGTTTTGCACTTGTAGCCTGTACAGTAAGTCTTATTATATTTGGAATCAAGCATAAAGTAATAATGCCTTCTCCCTTTTATCACAGATTCCTTGCAGCTTGGAGTACTGGGATGAGCTTCAGAAATCATTTGTTGCATTCCGGGAATTCAGTCTATCAGAAAGCAAAGTCTGTGAACTACAGCTGCCCAGTATCAACTTTGTGAATGATCAGAAAGAGCTCATAGCCTCCGATCTTTGGAGGATTGTCCTGAACAGCAGTCAGAATGTGGCCGATGACCAAAGGTAATTTTGAAGGAGGAGGGAAAAACAGAAATCTAATGCTGCACTCTTGAGAGGTTTTTTTCAAGAGACTTAGGAAATAAGATACTGTTTTCATATGCGGTAAGAGTAGCTGGTCTTAAATGAGCTTCAAACTGTAGTTCACCTTCACGCAAGGGCATGGAGTGTGCACAAAAAGAGCTCTCTTTTAGATTTATAGGCAGCCTGGCAGCATCATATTCATCAATTTTCTGAACACAAGGATTACTGAAAAGTGAAGACAAACAGGCCATATCCTGAAACCTCTTAGCTGCACAAGGCAGTAAAATTAGCTCATTAACAAAAGAAGGCTGAGGCGCAATCCATTGTGTAACGTAGTAGTAAACATTCTTCTTCCATGCACCCCCCATACATCACCTTTATTCTGTCCTCAGTGCAAGTCAATGACTAAAGCAAGCCAAGTGTCTATTTTAAATATATTAAACAAAAATTTAGTACTTCAAGAGCATTACAGTATTATTCACACAGCTTGCTTACTGTGCTAACAGTAAAAAAATTTAATCAGTGTTTTCAAACACTGGGGATCCATTTTTCATTATGTTTGCAGCTGGAAACAATGTACTGTGACAGATATTCACTCTATTTACATTCATTCAGTTTTGGTTAATATGTAGGGTAAGAAGAAATGAGTACAAGTTCTCTCCACAAACAGCAGTGGAATTGCTTTCAAAGACCTTCTTAACATTTTATAGTTAGAGCGGAAAACCAAGAATGACCCTGTTGGATCATTGCTGTTTGCTGATTGTTGCTGCCTGTGTGTGAACACATGCTTGAATGAGTGTGTAGCATCACATATATGTTACATGAAGCTACAGAATTCAGAGAAATCAGGAAATACGAACATGGCTAACAAAATCAATGAAGAAAATTAAACATCTGGTTTCCATTAATAGTATCAGGTTGGAAATGATTTCTTGATGTTAATTGTGAAAGAATGCATTTTCATCATTGAGAAGTTAAGTGTTTTAGACAAGGTTAATTCCTCTGAATGTGGGACCTTGGCAAAATTGCCTTCCTGGTCAGCTTAACACCACAGAAATGTGAACTCGGTGGGAACTGAAAATGAAGTAGTGAAATTTAGTAGATTTTTTTCATCAAGGCATTTGGCACTGTAATCATGTTTATTGTTTTCTGCTCAAATAGGGTTCCTCACTATATGCAGTGTTTCATTTAGGGAGCTCTGATAAGCTAATGAGTTGTAATTGCTCAGGAAAAGGCTAGGGTTAAAATGAAATACAAATAAGTAAAAAAAAAAACCCCGTTTGGACTGTGATTAACATCAGAAACATTTTACAGCACAGCATGAATTCACCTGCCTAGAAGGTCTAAACTCGTGACTTTTCAGCTGGGAGGCAGCAGGCCTGCTCCACAATAGTGACCATCCTCAGTGGTATCAGTGTGTCAAGTTATAAAGAGGTAGAAATGTCCTAATGGCCTTGACATACCAGAAGACTCCAAGGAAGACAACTGCTCTGTCCACAGCACTGATATTAGAAGCACTAATGTGTGTCTTCTAGATTGTGTGTGTACACGTGAAGCTAAAGCAGAAACTACAACTGAAAAGAACAGGAATTAAACTGAAGCATTAGCAGTTCACTGAATAGGGATAGCAGGAAAGGAAAGAAGGCAGCAAAAAACACGTGACACACTACCGTAGCTTTTGAAGGTCAATAAACAGAGGAGAAAGAGGGAAGTCAAGGGAAGGTGTTATGAACTGCCTGCTCCTTAGGCATGTGCATGGAGACTGCAAAGTCACTAGTCCTGATACTTTTGGTGGCCTGAGGAATTTAAAATAGTTTCAAGAGGTGTAGTTTACACCTACATGAACTAACAGTAGACTGGAAAGCTAGTTAAAGATTCATGTAGGTCACGGTGAACTCCATCCAGAATTCAGAAACCTGAGCGATACATGAGGAAAACCTCTGATTTCAATCAGAAAAGAGAAAAGATTGTATTCCCTGCCTCAGCTGCAGTTTCAGATAGAAACTCAAACTGATCTCTCTTTATACTAGCTTCAAACAAGGCTGTACTGCAAGCTTTTTTACAGATGACTGCAGGAAGGACTGGTGTGGAAGAAGTAGTCCTGACCAGCCTGGAGTGATCCTTCTCAGAGAAACTTAACGGGTCAGAAAAAGAGCAGCTGTTCCTTAGAGATGAGGTTTTGACCTATGGTGTTTGAGGCATACTATCTCTTTCTTGGAGACAGAGCAAATCATGCCAGTCACATGTTGCTGACCTGGAGGTTTTGAGGCAGTTCACAAGCACTGAAATACATATAGTTACAGCTACAGAACAAGGTTAAGGTAACGGTTAAGCCCTAAATGATCACGTTATGTTAAAGGGAAGCCTTGTTTAGGAGGTGGTGACAGATACTGTTGACCTACAGAGAAGGCCAACCTTTCTAGACCCCTAGTAGCTTAGGAAGTCCATGTTGGCAGGAACTTTGCTGAAACTGTGGCTCTATCTTCATCAAACAAACATATTGCTACCAGTATGGGTATTTTCTTGTGACCAAGCACCCTAAAATGTATTCTGGATTCTACTTGACCAAAAGATTCCAAACTTTTTTGGTTTTGAGAGAGAGACTGCCCCATGTCATGGTAAATTTCAATGTCAGGCTTGTTCCTAAAGCAAGTGTTTAACATGAGATCTTAGACTTGTGAGAAGAGCCACAAGGAGTTGTGCTTAAATCCACTGCCGAGCGGTAGACCAGGGAACTTCAAGGCTGAGGGTATCTGCGAATGAGAGGGAGAAGTGAAGACTGTATAAAAGTTGAATCTCTGTTTTCGTGGAGACTCATGATGATTTGACATTAATTGCATGCTGTAACTGTGTGATTGAGTAACAAATTTAATTCACTATTAATTGTAAAGTATAAAAATGCTTAGTCTTGTTGAAGTTTATTTTCTTAGTTTGATCTTGTATTTTGGGTCAGACTCTTAACAGCTGCCATATGCATGCAGCTGCTGCTCAGTGATAATATTTTTTCCTTCGAATTCTGCAGGGTCTTTTTTTTTTTTTGTGGTAACCTCTATGATATGCTAATTATTAATACCAGAGAGCTGATCCCTTGTGTTTTAAGTACTTTATTACTGATTCCTAACATCAGTTATAAAGTATAAAACTTACGTGGCTCGTGTGACAGGAAAACAACGACGTTTGTGAGAAGATGTGGATCCAGCTGATATGTTGAGCAGTAGCTGGCAGGCTGAAGTATATCAACCAGTAATGAATATGGGAATATGCAAAGATGTCATGGTCCAAATCCTGTGGTATGCAAGCTCTTTCTGAGATTGATCAGGAAGTAATTAGAAGTACAAAAATCAAGGAGCTATCTGGTTAGGGACATAGTATATATGTGTATGTTGTTTATTTTTAAGAATTTTGTAGGCCATTCATTATTCAATGAATGAATAAGGTTTGAATGAACATTTATGAATGTTTATTCAATGAATGAACAAATCTGAAGTCCTAAGTGAAATAATTTAGCCTCCCCTTGAGGATTTAGTACCGTGTCTATGGAAGGAATCATGTATGGCATAAATGACTGTTTATGGAAGACCTTAAAATAGGGGATTAAAAGGAAATTATCATAGAATAAATTATTTTTTTAGGCTGCATTTTCATGTTGCAGGACTAGCAAATTATAATCAAAATTACTTTTATTTAAAGCTCTGTTTGGGTGGTGAGATGCTAAAGCCCCTCCCTGGTTTGCTTGGGAGGGGGTTATCATTCTCTGTTTAAATGGGTTATGTTACAAGATGTTTTATATATTTGTGCATCTCCTGTGTAATGTAAACAGTGTTTTTATAATTCCTGACATACTAATGTGAAGTAGTAATTGAAAATACCTGAAGATACAAACCATGAAACAAGTACAAAAACTTTTAAATAAACCTTAAATTGCTACTTTTTAAAAATTAAAGTGAGGAATTGTGATCATGTTTCTTGCTAATTGTTTTAGCTTTTATTCAAAGTAGATGATGTACTGGATTTTGACCTCTAACAATTTGGGTTCAGACCAGCATTTGAGTCATAAATTAAATGAGTTAAGTGGTCTCTTTCTTCTTCCCAGTGGATATTTTCCCATGTTGCGGTTTCATCACAAATGGCAGTTTTGGTTTAAATATTCCACTCTTAAAATAACAAGAATAATGCAGGTCACTATTAAGTCATTGTTCCCAGTTGCCATATATTTAACTTGAACTGCTTTGCATGATGTGAAACTATCAGACTTTATAATATATAATTACTTCAAAGGTAGGTATTTTCCATTTTAAAAATTCTGATATTTCACAGGATTAAAAAAAAAAAAAAAGACGACATTTCTGGTATTAAAGTCAGGTCAATTTCACTTAGAATTTCCTCTGGTTTTGCTACACCATCCCTCAGCATGTTGTGCCAAACACAAAGCAGTAGAAGCTAGTTATTCCTTTTCTCCCCAGCTGAAAAGTTGTGGACAGTCCACACTGCATTTTGTAGCTCCAAAGCAGCCAAGAGAATGTGGGATTTTTTGATATTGTATTCATTTGATGCACAAATTTTGATCTACCTCTGTGATATTAGTGCTGCTACTGTTGTTCACCAAGACTTGATAGAAAGTTTCCTGGGTTTTCTGCTGACACTGCTTTATTTCCTGTTTGTGCACAGCATGTGATGAAGGACTGTGTCTTTGATTTCTGTGCTCTATGCAAGGTAAAAGGAGAAAGTAGCAGTGCCAAAGGTCTGACGGAAGTCTACCTAGGCAAAAAGTTTAAATGGGATTTAATTTAAAATTGGATTGTCGTGGTAGTGATTGTAAGGACTACAGTCCCCCTTTAAACACTGCTCACCTGGTATTATGATCTCTTATTACAGTACTTTTTAAAGGCAATACTATTGTAATTTGGATGCTGCTCTTAGTATATTTTGTACTGTAACTGGTTTATACTGTTACTGTATTTTTATTTTCATAACAACATTGGGGCTATAATTCTGATATGGTTTCTGGTTGAGTAAAAATCAAATGGACCCCTTCACAGATAAAACAATAACACTTGAACAAAGTCTGGTCAGACAGGAAAACAGTGATGAAAGAATCCTCATTGCATTTCTTTTCAGATGATTTCTAGAAGATGATCTTCTTTCTGTAGAGTGACTTTCCTTTCTAAAATGTGGTTTAGCCCACGTTGGCATGCTCCTCTCAGTCCTCCCTACCACAGGAGAGGATGCAAGGCCAGTTCTATCCCAGGGAGCAACATTGTTCCACCCTCATTTGCTGTTTCTCTCCGGTTAGTTTTTTAAGCATGTGGTTGGACTCTGAAGTTTGTTAGGGAATCATTTCAGTTGTGGGCCTTTTTGGTTTCTCAGGTGACTCTCCATGAAGAAACAAAAAGCAGTTTGGAATCATTTTGTTCCCAACATTTTGAATTCTTTATTACTTCTGCTTGGTCTGCTGCTTGCGGGGCAGAAAAATCAGAGCAAAGTAGGGCTAAATGCTTTAAATTATTTCCCTGGTGTGAAGCTCCTGCCACATTTCCTCCTGCATCAAGCATGTCATGTTGCCGTGTAATCACGTCGGTTATGAATGAGAAATGACAAATGTCCCATCACACTAAAATGCTCGATAAATAAAAAGCAGGTATATAAAATTTGACTAAACAAGAATTTGGAGGGGTTTGTTTGTTATTATTTTATGAAAATATCCATCTCCAAAAAAACATATGCAAGGAAATAAAAATGCTGAGTCACTGATAGGTGACTCAGGGAATAGGTTTCTGAGGAAAAGCAATCTATAATTTCAGAATAAACCTCAAATTTCAGAAATAAATGTCCTTCCTTTTTACTGCAGTTAGTGTTATAGCTGTTTGTGCAAATTAAGTCTTAATTCAGAATATCAAAGTGTAATTATTCTTTTTAAAGTTCCTCATAGCTTGGTTAACATTTGTTTGCACCCCTCTACCCTTTTTCTATTTTCATCCCATATGTCCCAGAACTTCTGTTTCTAATCAAAATGCAATGAGCAAAAATTCTTGAAATGTTGACAGTTATTCGGAAAGAACTAACCAGTTCCACAGATTCAAAATTATGTAATGGTCTAAATCGGCATATGAATTTTGGTGGCTTTTGGATTTCTTTCCATGCTTTGTTCCAAATATCTAAGGAATATCCATGGTAGGCAAAGAAAAGCAACCCATTTCTCTGGCTCTAGTCCACTCCCATAGATGTTTTATCACATGAACACAAAGAATAATTTTATTTCCAAAGAGGCCAGTTCTCAAAAGGCCTACAACACCGTTTTTGAAATGTAAACAGGCAATTTGAAGAGGTAAAGAAGCACAGGAAAGCAGCTAAAAATCTGATTACGTGATCTATCTTTCATCCTTCACCGACCTAATCCATTCTTGATATCCTGTCTTGATTCTTTGATAATTAGCTAATTTTAGTTGGATTTTACTGCTACGCAAGTATTTTGATTTATGTCCACAAATCTAAAGTTGCATTTATGCTTCATAAATAAATACCATACTAGCTAGTTACCGTAACACAAAATAATACTGGTAAATTTACCTATCCATGGAATTCTACGCATTTGCAGCTGAACATTTTACCTGCTATATTTGTGCGTAATTTTGCAGTAATACACATGGTGTGATGAAAAATTTGGTCCTAAAAGCATAAGACGTTGCTTTGAAAGCCAATGTTCGAATTTAAACTTGTGTTTGAATTTAAAATATCTTTAAAATGTCAATGGAAATCTCTTCACGGTGCTTTATAAAAGCTAATTACTTTCTGACAAAAATAGTAAGTTGGTCTTAGTTAATCCTTCGTTAAATTTTATTTTAAAAATAAAAGCAGTATTGGGTTGAGGACGTGGACTTAGTTTTCTTGAATCAAGTCTATGCTTTTAAACTAAAACTCTTTAGTACCAAACTGCAAAGGGAGTGAGAATAAGGAACATTAAGGATAGATTTGGCTTAAATTAGAAAGTTTATTTGTACTTCAGTGGTGTCTTAGCAACCTATAGAATTGTGATGTAGTGTTAGTTTCTCTCAAGAGACTGAAAGATAATGCTTGGAAATTCATGGCGTCAGGAGCACGGCTAGGAAAAAAAAAAACAACAGTGGGGTGGCATTTTAAATGTATAGTTAATATGTTGTAATAGGTGCTAGTAAAAGGCTCCAGGCTGAGCTTATAACACTCAGAGATTCTTTTAAAATGATGACTGTAGAATGAGAAGGGCAAAGGAAAGAAAGCTTACAGGGACAGGGTTTATGCGTAGAAGGAGTTTGATGGTTGTGCGTTGGTTTCCTTAAAATAAAATTTAAAAAATCATTCTCTTGACCAGATTAACTTTCAGCTCATTCTTATAGCTTTAATAATGGTAATGTACTCTGTTTAGCTATTTCAACAATTAAAGATACCTGGTATATTTTGTTTTTATTTTCTGTAAATATGCTTTGCTTCTGTGATTCAAGTGTTACAGTTTGTGAATTGAAAGTGCAGTGTGATTAAAGCATTGTTGGATTGCAGTCTTGTCTGCTATTGGGAAAAAGTACAAACGGTAACATTAGCAGTTAAAATAAAATGATGACATTGGCTGTGTCAGAAAACCAACATGGCACATGGTCAAGTCTTACTGTAAAGCGATAAAATCCTGGAAGTGCTGAACTACCACTTTGTTATCTACCTTCCACAGCTCAGAAAGTGAATCTGGCTCACAAAGTGCATGCGATCAGCTTGTAACCCCCACGGCATTAGCAGCCTGTACCAGGGTTGACTCCTGTTTTACTCCTTGGTTTGTGCCATCATTAAGTGTGTTGATCCAATTTACTTATTTGGAAGTCCACCTCTGCCATCATCTTGATCACCTAGGCACAGGTATGTACTTCTTTATGTAGAATAATAAAAGCATATAGTTCATACATGCTGCTTAATTGCTGTTTTGCTGTCTGTAGTCCCCATTTCCTCATTTAAACAGGCATTCTTGAAATAAATTGTCACCAACAGCCACCAGTGGTACAGACTTCAGGGTAAAACTGATGACTTCTGTGCATTGAGAAGTACATACGGTAGGCAGTGGGGCTGGCTGATCAGCCCCCTTCCTCCCTCTGGAATGGGTAACTGTAGAAGCCATCCGGTTTTCGTAGTCTGATTAGTGACAGCAGGTGCCACTTCAGTTTTGAGCTATCTTAGTGAATGAATTTGATCTTTTAAATTTTCCAGCGTATTAACAGTACTATTAAAATATCTGAAGATTTTGCAACCCCCTTAGTAAGAATTCCTTGGAAGAGCTCTGAGAACTGCAGATTTAACTGTTATTTCAATTATGATCACTTTTGGAGCTACATCTGGTTCTGTTCAGCACTCTCTGTCATTGCATTAATGGCAAATACATTCCAAGAGATCTTTAGATTATTGTCTGATTTTCAAATGCCAGGAATGCTTTCCATGGAAGATGAGCAAATATCTCAGATAATTTTGACAGGGACAGCTTTCTTCATGAGTAGTTTTTGTGTTTCTGCAAGTATTATAATATATGCATTATCAAATCATACCAAGACTGACACTCAACGTCTAGCAAATAATTTCTTGTCTATCGGCTACCTCTATCGGTACATAATCTTCCTCACTATTACACTCCAATTCCAGATGCTCGATCTTTAAAATTACACGTACTGGAAAAAGCAAAAAATCAATTTAAAATCAAATCCAGCTGTTTCATTTTTCAAGAGCAACTGAGTTTATGCTGATGCTGCTGTTGTTATAGCACCTAAAGGCCTTAAGTTTCGGGGCTCCGTTGTGCTATGTTGTACACGAAGGGAGCACAAAACTTATTGTATCCATTATGCTTTTGTAGAATAATAGGGCTTGATCCTGGAAAGTGATGAGTGTTTTGGTTCCAAATCTGTAGAACACTTGAGCATATGCTAATTTTAAGCATGTGAGTAGTTCCAGCAACATAAATAATAACATCAGTGGAAATACTCGCATGCTTAATGTTACACAAGTGGTGTACATGCCTTGCAGTGTCTGCTGCCACAGTGCTTGGCACTTTGCAGGACTGAGACTTCAGTGAACGCGATAAAATCTTTTTTTATGATATATTTCTCATGCTTTAGTCTCAGGATACTACTTTCTTTAATTTCTAGTATTATGGGGTAGTATGTCACATCTCAGTGGGTTTGTGGTCTCGAACTCTGTAATTGCAGCAAAGACAATTTTCATTGTGGAGCCTGTTAGCCTGCACAGTCACATGTCAGTAAATATTATATTGCTAATTTTTATTGCATTCATAATGTGCTATGTGTGGAATATCATATACATCTACTATAGCAAAAATTCTCACAGAAATATGGTCTCTGCTCCAAATAGGTGGCAATCTGAAGCATTGTGCAGTGTGATAGATAAAGCAGTTTGGCTGGCTGGTCTATTTACCATTAAAAGATTTTGGTTTGCAGATACTTTTTGTTTGCAGCTGCTATTAATTACAGTTCTATTTTACATCTAATAAACAGTGTGAACAGGATTAATTTCAGATTTCAGAAATGTCAACTCTTTTATGAATTTTACTTGTTTTCATCATATGTACAAGCAGTTAAAACACAATTTACAAAAACGTACAGAATGTGGCGATGCTGATGTTCTAGGCTTGTTTGTTGTTTTACTTTTCAGCACCACCAAAGTTTCTTCAGCCATTTTTATCTGATAAGAACATGCCATCTGAACTAGAATACATGATAATTTCCTTTGATGAGCCTCATGTCTATCTTCGTCAGTGGAGCGATGAGTCGATGTTCCAGGAGATCCAGTTTTCAACTCAAGCCGACTGTAAACTTTTGGAGTGCCGAAACGTGACTATGCAGAGTGTTGTGAAACCTTTCAAAATCTGGGGGCAGATTGCTATTTCCAGCAGCACAGTAGGAAGGCTATTGGACTGCACAATAATGGTGGACCCCATTTTTATCAACTTTGGCCAATATGCACTTCATTCTCTAAATACAGCAATTCAAGCTTGGCAGCAGGTATGCAAATACAATAGTGAGAAAATATGTAGCTTTTGTGATTAATTCAATAGCAAATTAGAATACCAACTGTGCTGATTAAAAATATTCCAAGATGTAAAAGCTTTAATTTGCACTAAAAGTGTTTTTTACTAATAAGCATTAATTCCGTGATAACAATGAAAATTAGGAGACAATGAGTGCTATACGTAAAGGTAAATGTAGCCAGAACTGCTTGAGTTTCAGTGAAACTACATGGCTTTATATCAGAATAATCAGAATCTTGGTCTTGAAATGCATAATATTCCATTAATTTATGAAAAGATGAGTGGTGCATGATATGTAAGCACAGCTCTGTCTGAGCGGTAGAGCATATTGTTTCCAGCTACTACTTCTATCCTTATTGAAGTTCAACACTAGTTTCACATTACATTCTGTGCAAGTAGCATTAATGGCTGAAGCCAGTCCCAGCGTAAGGAACCTTGCTTCTGCAATGACCCCTCGAAGGCCTGTAATTCCCTTACTCCACTATAGCCTTGAAATCAAATCGTTCTCTTCATCTGCCTGAAGACCTATGTGGAGCCTGGGAATTAATTACCTATCATGGCACTACAATAACAAAGCCCCCAAAAAAGGATAAAACATCTGTTTTATATCAAAAAATTCTTTTTTAAGGGCATTCCATGGTTTTCTTGTTGCAAAAGGACATTCATAAAACAAGATCTAGTGTGATTTAAATCTTTACAGCTGGCTCAAATATCAATGTGAACAAAAATCTTTGTAGCTCCAATTTCTGTTTTTTGTCATATTTTGAACAATGCTTTTAATAAAAAACAAACATAGAAAGTATAAGAGAGTCCTTGGTAGGCTGTTTAAACCCAAAATATTTCTGACTTAGTACTAGTCCCTCATCTAAGACATGTGTGGCAACTACTGCAAAATGGCCTTCAGAAAGGTCAGTTTCCTCTTAGGATGGAAAAGAAAAAGATCTCTCAGACATAGCTACACATATAAATAAAATATGGTGCATAAATATTTAAATGTTTTAAACCACATCACAGTGTGAATGACTGACTGACTACTCTGTGCCTTGAAGGAATATTCTGAGTTGAAAAAATGGAATTGTATATTTGATTAAGTAGAGCCATATGTCGCATAGTATATTGCTGACAGGTACATTCTATGAATAGTTGGTACTGATTTATACATGGATTTGGCAATGTTAACATGAGCCACGGGAGGATATACTTCTGTAATTGTTGCTGTAATTTTCTCGTTTCCTCTCATGTCAAGGGTACTTGCCACCATATTCTGATGTGGTGGGTATCTAGCCCTGAGTATTCGAGATTAAAAACTTGCATCGCTTTGAAATTAGGGAACAGTTAACACACAAGTGGGTTCAAAACAGCTTATTAAATTAATTGTTACCAAGATGTTTCGTATGTGGCTTTACCTCCAGATTGGAGGGGTGGCACGCACTGCACGGGGAGGGAATGAATTTCACAATGATAAGCATTGCTTGATGTTTGCTGTTCACACAAAATACAATATAAATGCTGCCAACTAGAAGCATGAATTTAATAAGGAAAAGGTTATTTGAATTCTCCACATATTTTTTACTGGATTAATACCTGAAACAAGTGATGATGTAGTCAGTGGACAGACAGATGAAGCATGAAACAATCTGGCCCTGCACCTTTAGGTCAAGAGTTCAGGATTAACAGAAGCCTCTGTCAGTGTCTTTGTTTCCTAGATATGGACTGATTTTTTTCTTTTTGTTTAAGTAATGATGAACATTTTGAAAGTAGATTAAGCCTAAAAAACACCAGGCGTACAATTTGCTTTATACTTCTAAGTCACATGCTGAAAATCTGAGAGGATTAGCACTTTTTAAAAACAGTTTCCCCTTTTGACGTATTTCACTGTCTGATCTGAAATCCCTGTTTAAATACGAGCAGTAACAGGCTAATGCCCATCTAAATGCAAAGCTAAAGTAATGGTTTTAATAATCAAATAACTGGACAGGGAACTTCAAGATTGTTATTAATTTAGTTTTATTATTTAATAATAACATACAGAGTATCAAGTGAGATAGAAAATGCATGTCTCCTGTGAATATACATGGCGGGTTGGTTTTTTCCCCTTTATTTGGGCATTTAAGCCTTCACAAATTGTTTTATAGCATTAGTGCTTTGTGATATCTACAGACGCGGGGTCAGCTGAGAAAACAGCTCCCCAGGTATGGTACTGAGTGAGTATTCCTGGGAAAAAAACTATTCTTTTGTGGTCTTGCACTGCAAATGTTTTCCTAAACCCCTCAGAAGTTATAAAAGCTCCTGTTTTAAACCTGGTTTAAACCATTAGAACTTCTTTTCCTTGAGGTCCGCGTGGTGCTTAACCTTTCTGTTGGCAGTTGCATAAGTTTTCTTAATGAGCTGGGATCAGTCAGAATGACATCTGTGATCACAGTAGTTTCCCCATCTTTCTAACATAAGCACAAAGAACAAAGGAAAAGAGTACAGAAAACTTGCATGTAGCTTCAATTTAACTTTCTAGCTGATAATGTCAGGATACTGCCATGAGAATGAAGCTTAAACAATCAGAAGGAAAATGTTCTTTTCTCTCAGAGGAACTTTGAGGGAGATAAGAAATTGTTAAAGACTTTCTGTCCAAAGAACGTTACTAGATACTAGAGAGAGAGGCGGGGGGGGTGTACGTGTGCGCGTGTGTGAGAGAGAAAGAAGGCTTGCACAGGTCTTCGGTAGCTTGTGAAGCACACAGAAAATAACTTTGTGTATATAAAGAGGCCTAGGCTTTTATGGGTTTTTTTTCTCCAGATCCAGAAAGGCTTTGAAATAGCTGTGAGCTGAGGCGTGAGCAGAAAGTCCTGAGACAGGGAAAGCCTGGTGACTAGTATTATATGGGATGTTTTTCCCCTCTCTGAATAGAATTCACAAAATATTTGAAAGCCCAATAAAGGAGAGACACTTTCCAGGCCTCTCTGAGAGAAAAGAACAGCTGAAAAATGATCTAAAGAGGGGCAGGAAATTGTCCCCCAGGAACTGACCCTAATCTGTATCTGATTCAGGCTGTTGATCTTTTGCTGATTCTTTTGATTTGCTGTTTTAATTCAGAGAGGGATTTTTTTTCCTAATCCACACTTAGGTGTTTTCAGCTCCTGGAGTCATCATTCAGCCCTTCAGTATCATTGCCACACAAATGGCCCAGTTCTATTTGTTTTTATTATGTCTGGTTTCTCTACACTCTCTTTTATCAATCAAGATTTCCTCACTCCATCCTTTTGCCTTTTTTTTTTTTTTGGTCCCTTTCTGCTTACCCTCGAAGCTTCTGCTGTCAGACTTCGGCAGCGAATTTGGGATCCAGTTCCCTGTGATGGGTGCAGGGAGCTGCTGTGGTTCCCCAAGGACTGAGAAGCATGGGTGGTACTCTGGGAAAAATCTCCTGCATTTACTGCAAGAAGAATAAGAGTTGCCTAGAACCCTGCCTGTACAGTGCATAGTTGCCATATTGAGCTAAAGCATCCCCAAACTTCCTTGATGATCCTTTAGTCAGCTGTTATTATCAAGACATGAGGCATCAGTAGCTCTCTCTTAAGCCAGGCAGCATGGAGCAATGCCTTATTATACAAATCTTGGTGTTTCTTTGGTTAAAACTTTGGAACTGTTACAAAATTGAGCTTAAAATACCTCTTTTGCTTAACTTTGAGAAGCGTCGCTGTTAAAAGCAGTGGGTTCTAGTAGCGAATCTAGCATTTAAGACTAACGATTAATGGCAGTCATTCATCAGCGCCAAAATGTGTGCAAGTCTATTAATAATCCCTGATGGGATAACATTCCCCCAGTACAATTTAGGAGTTCTATGCATGCCAGAAACTTGCTAGATTCTCTTTTCCCTCTGGAAAATGCAAGAGCCTACAGTTTGGGTTAACTTACTTGAAACTAAGTTAGTCAGTCAGGTAAAAAGAAGGAAGTTCTTCATCTTCCAGTGTTATTCTTCCAGCCTGTGCATAATCAGCAAGGAAATGTATTGGAATAAAAAAAAATTTTCTTAAATTCCCCTGGGGTTATATCTAGGTTTGACTATAACAACATGCTGAGTTCTGTGGATAGTAAATCCTCCCTTTTAAAAAGAACATTTTGCAAAGCTGTAACAGGAAAATATATATATTTGTGGTAGACTTATGGGTATGTGGGTATGGCAGCTTGACAGTAAAAAGTCATAGATCCACCACTAGAAAATGCCAAAATAAACTCTGCACTCTGAAGTGGCACTGTAAATGTCAGCCTTTAGCATACCCAGATCTGCTACTGAATGCGATACAGACATCCTGCTCTGTAATGAGTTTTACTGCTTTGAAAAAGTGAGATTTTGGTTATGCTTGCCTGACTCTTGTTTCACAGAAGATACCTGATCTTATGCAGAAGAATTCATGAGATTTGGAGAGAAGCTTTAATCTAAATATTCTCATGCTTAAATACTCCTAGGGTGAATAATTTTTTGCACAAACGCTCCCAGCCAATCATTCTGACATTGTCACAAACGGATTTGCAACCTGCACCTTAGGTTCTTCTGAAGTTAATAACAGTAGTGAACATGCATTCAAGGATGCTAATTGGACATACCTTGTACACTTTGCTTTTCAGAAAATCTGTTCCACGTGTATCACCCAGCAATGTGCTACAAGCAATGTACCAAACTGTTTTTCATGGATAACTAAGGATCCATAGGGATCTATGAGGAAATATTTTTCTCTTTCTCTTGTTTGATCTCTGAATTTCTGCAGGCTTCCAGGCACATTGTTATCAAAGAACTAGAGACCCATATGATCATAGACAGAGGAGGTGCTAGCTTCATTATGTCTGTTTAAAAGGTCCACTGAGAGAGCAAGGAGGGGAAACAGAATCAGCTCTCAAAGACCATGGAGGTCCCGTAAGTTAGAGAAGACGTCATGGGAAGAAAGGATGAGAAAAGAGCAGCTGGGCTATATTGTGGAGAGAAGGGAACCAACCAACAATAAAGCATTGTCAAAAGTGTGTACTAGGAAAGATGGGTCAAAAAGAGGTAATGAAAAGCACAAAAAGATGAATTCTTTGTGTTATACCCATTAAATTGCATGAAGACTATCCAACTGTTGCTTTCTTGGAGTAATTGTTATGGTTGCTAGATAGTTGCTTGTAAGTGGAAGGTGCCAGCCCAGTAGTGACTAGGACAGAAATATATGAGCGATGATCTCCAAATCAAATTGTCAGTCACACTTTGGCCTCTCCTGTATAGGGGATTATAGTTCATGCCTTCAGGGACGGAAGACCTGTAGCTCTGGTAATTTTTGCCTATCATATAGTCCCATTGTGTCAAGTGACAAGCAGCCAGATGAAAAGCAGAAAGAGAGGGATGGAAGGATGCTGCAGGCAGGAGAAAAAGTATTGTAAAATCTAAAATGCTTTTAAAACCCGTGATAGTTTTTGATTTTTCCTATTAGGCTGTCAAATTCCATGATGCATATTCGAAATAGCCTCTTGGAGCTGTGAAAATACTCTCCCCATGTCTCCTGCTTTTTCTTTAGTTATTTTTTTAAGTGTTGTGTTGTGGTATCAGGAGAGAGAGGGTCTTCTGCTGCTGACCCACAGCAACGCTTCAAAGTAGAAGCAGCAGCTGGGGAAGAGGAAGTGCAGCCTGTTGGCCTGAGAGTTCTGTTGTCAAGCATTGAAGAAACCTCTTCATGTCTCTCTGCTCAGCCTGTAGTGCCCCGCCTGCCCTATGTGATGTGTCATTTCCAACTGAATTTAATTTTGTTGAAGTCTTTTATGTAAGTTAGGAAATCTAGTTTTTATTGTAGTTTTAAATCTTTAAGATTTGCATTACAGAAACATAAAGTAAAATACGGTGAGTCTTAGAATATATTTTGTCAACCCAAACACTAGTTTTTGCAGAGAGTACTATGAGACCAAAGCTAATGGCAAGAGATCTTGAAGCATTTCTGTGTTGTAACAGTCGCCACTGGGCAGACAGCTGCCAAATGTCTTGCAATTAATTTGATGCTTACTGGCTTTCATATCCCTTTCCTTTCAGAACCAATGCCCTGAGGCAGAGGAGTTGGTCTTCAGCCATTTTGTGATCTGTAATGACACACAAGAGACACTGCGGTTTGGCCAGGTGGATACTGATGAAAATATTTTGCTGGCTAGTCTCCACAGTCACCAGTACAGCTGGCGTTCTCACAAGTCCCCGCAGGTATGTCAGAAATAGCCCTTCGAATGCAGCAATTGCTAAAGCTGACTGGTGGCTTTATGCATTGATTCCTCGGTTTTCTCTATGGTCTCGACTATCTCTAATGCTCCAGTTCTTTCAGGAGCCACACACTGAGGCTGCATCAGAGAGAAAAGGTAAACAAAGAGTGAGGAAAGCCAGACGTGTTTAGAAGTTACTTGAGGGTAGAACTGGATGTGCACGACCGCTTTCTGTAAAACTGAGCGCTTGTGGAAACTGAAGCTTCTGAAAAAAAGCAAAAGAAGATTGCTTGCCAGGTTTTTATAACTAAGTGACCAGTGTCTGTTTTCTGTGATGTACATTAGAAGTTTGGGGAATTTTTTTAATGAATTGTTCTTACCAGAAGCATCTGTTCACTGAAATTGTTTGCAGAACAGGGTCAAACTGGACAAATCTCTCAACTCAGCATGTGCTTACATTAGAAAAGATTTGAAATTTTAGAAACACCCCACTTATATAGTTTAAATAATGCAGTTTCTGTTTCTTGGGTGTTTTTTTAAGAATAAACACTGAAACTGAAATAGAATATTTTAAAATTATCAACAGGAAATATTTCAATGAAACCATGTTGTTGGTTTTCTTGAGTGGTGCTGAAAATGAACTTTTCATCTTGATTCAAGATAGGGCAAGAATTTAAAAGAAGTGTTTATGAGACAGCAAAGCCATTCTTCTCTCTTTTTAATATATATACCCAGCTCCTGCTGAGTGGGAGACTGGAGACCTATGCCACTCCACTTGCTAAGCAGCAGTTCTGTGCTGAAGAGTTACTAAAATTTTTACAGATCCTAGGAGGAGCGTAGTGGATGGGGGTTCCTAACTCCTCTAGAGCCCTGGAAAATACCAGCCTTAGCATGTGAGAAAGAAGGTGAAATTTGGATGGTATTCTAAACAGGAGCTGTGCCCACTTTCACTGCTGACAAGTTTCAAGTTTCACTGGGAAGCAGAGATGGCAAATTTACTATGTTTTTCGTTCATATGTCGGTTGGTGGATATGCAAAACTACCGAATTTTACATGAATGCAGTAATCTGTGCAGAGCAAATTCAGCCAGAATAAACAGTTGCAGCTGACACTGAAGTCAAGGCGTAAGTTAAGAGGAAGGCAGGCTAATAAAGGACCGTCTCACGCCAGTGACAGAGTTGTTGTTATAAGTGGTGTGCACTGGTGTAGGAGCGCACAGAGGGGGACCTTTGGAGGCTTAGAGACACTGGAGTACTGTATGTCCCTTGCCACCTTTTCAAAAAGGACATATGTTTTCTCATACAAGCAAAACGCCTGTGATGCCCCAGCCCATGGGCGAGCAACCCAAATGGGTGACTATGCTCTGTGCAATTGGGCAAGTGTCAGATTGCGAGACAGGATCCCCACTCGTCAGGTGACAGTACTCGCACCTGGGTTACGATTGACGTAACTCCCTCTGGTTGTGTGAGGGAGAAAGAACAACCAGGCGTGTAGAAAGCTAGCTAAATGTGACCCATGTTTCATAATCAATTATCACTTGCTTTTGTAGCAACCACCAAAAAAATCATTTAAACCTCTTCATAAACACATGGAAAAAGAAGGAAATGCTTAAAGCGATTATAAATAAAACCAGAACTAAGTAAGGCTTTCCTCTTAACAGTTTTTCTTATCCATTTTCTGGTTACTTATATAAAATTATTCAGTTGAGAGAATCCTCTTTTTGACCACCATTCTAGATAGATCTGGTTATGGTGTATTTCTAATAATGGTGTACTTCCAATAATGGTGCAAACTGGAAAGAGTTTTGAAAATGAGGTTTATCTCAAGCAAAGTGAAAAGTAGAAGAGTTAAAATTGCAGCTTGTTACTCATAATTTCTGTCAGTTGCAGCCGAACTGCTGAAGATCACCAGCACAATATATGGCATTAGCCATGCAACACCTGGAGAACTTAAATATTAAAACATTGATCTTTATCTTGTCCTTTCAGTCACAGACTTGAGCTGTGCAAAACATTCTGTTTTCGTGGCCGCTCTGTAAGTTTCTTATTAAATGAAAAATAAAAGTGCAGGATGAAAGGTGGAGAAGTCCAGCAGAGAACCAAATCACACATAAGGGAGCGGGTGAGGTGACAGTAGGAACTTCAGATTCATTTTTCAGATATTCATTCTTCAGCTGAAAGTTGGTGATGTCAAAGGGTTTCCCCATTCTGTTTTGCTCTGATCGGATTCAGATTCACTGAAGAATTGGGCTGATAAACAGTCAGGAGTGTCATGTTGGATTCCCGTGTCCCAGGAGACGGTGAAGCTAACAGCTCACTCCTCCTGACTCAACCACATTGCTGGCCAGCAGGCTCTTCTAGTAGGGGGGCTATACCTCCCTTGTCCCAGCCTTTGGAATAATTTCAAGAATACTTCTGCTCTTTTAATGTTTTTCAACAGCCATCTCTTGCTGGGAAATTTAGACACTAAAAAATAGCACTGAGGTAATTTCACTGAAAACATATGGAAGCACAGGCTTTCCACACACTGTTGAGATAGAAGCAAATTTTCTTTACAAAGGTCGGAGAATCTTGGCATCCATCTATAAGCCTTGTTCATTTGGTTAATGTTAAATACAAATCACTGTAAGTTTAGCATGCTTCAGAAAGGCAGTTCATCTAAACAGTCTAAAGAGCACAATCCTTTGCCATTTTAGATCATACGAAATAAGTTTGTTTGAATATCATTACAAATGTTGTCATGTAAATTTTTTCAGTGATTAATTCAAATCCTTGAAATGAAAATGACGACTCAATTAAGACATCAGGTTGTCCCTATTATGCTATGGCACTTTTCTAATTGTTTCCATGCAAAACTATCTAACAGCTTATTATCCAAAGGTCAGAATAATGCCCAAGCATGGACAAACCCTCCAAGTGTCATATTCATGGAATGCTAGATGACTTCATAGTTATGAAATTATTTCATTTCTCATGATAATTCCCAACTTGCCAAGTTAGTGAATTTTAAGAACTCTGAGAGCAGATTGTAAGATAAATGTGAAATAATCCATACTTCTGGAGTCAGGGACTTCCCTCCAGGCATTAGTTCATACTTGACTTACTTGACTTACTCTTGGGGATAAAATGAGTTAGGACAAGGTCTTAGATACCACATTCTCTTACTGGGAAAGAAAACCAACTTGCACAACTTTGGCTGGCTCATGTTTCTTGTTACACAGGCACTAAGAAGCAGCGGTTGCCATGAAATACTTTATTTAACCTCTGCAAAATGTTTTTTTAGTATGGCAAGGCAGTTCAGTTAAATGAAAATAAATAGTTTTAAAAGGATTGTATTTCTTTCACATTCACATCAATAAAATTATCCGTTTTTCTTTTGCTAATTAAGCATAGTGAAATATGCGGTAATTACCCATTTGAATTATTATATAATGCTTTATTTACATTTAGAATTGGTTTTAATATTAATGAAGCTACTATAGACTGTAATTAAAAATTGTTCAACTTTTTCATGTTACGAAAACAGCTATAGCATACCAAGGATTTGGATTTATCAGGTATTGATGGTGTCCCTCCAACTGTTTGGCTTAACTTAAAGCTCCTTCCTTCCTTCATTTTCTCCCAGCCCGGATCTTCTACATTTCAGGGAACCTAACCTTTCCCTTTTAACTTTCATTCTGATTCCTGCAAGTCTTGCTAGATTGGCTAATATTTCAGTAATAAGTCTGAGGTCCGATGCTCGCTCTTCTACTCTGCTCCATCCCCCATGTTTTCCTCAGATTTCATGAGGTTTTGACCTTCCTTAGGGATAAGATACCCCCAACTATATAGTCCCTTTCAGAGTTGGGGTAAGTCCAAAACTGATGATATTTGAGGCTTTAAGCAATTCTAGCAAAAGTTGCCAGACCTCGTGCGTTCCTTTTGCAGATTTTAATGAAAGTTAGAGGTCTGTTAGATATCATTAAAAGGGAAGAGAAGCTGCATCACTCCTGTGCTCTACAAACAACACTGGCTCCTACGTTATTATTGGATCCAGTCTGCGCTCCTTATCTTGATCTTCAAGTTGCTTTGTGGGATGGGCCCCAGTTATGTCAAAAGTCATGTTTCTCTCCAAGACAGCTGTGTTTTTTAGGAGAAGAACTGGAGCATATGATACATAGGGTGAAACTCTGAAGTTAGAAGAGATCAGATCTTCCTAGCAATTTACTCAGAGTAAAGGAATTCTGTCTTGCAAGACAGTAGGCAGTCAGAGGGTCCCACTAGGGATCACAGCAAATGTAAAAACCAGCTATTCATGTGAGAGTCCCCTGAATGTATTCGGCAGAGATTGTTTGCTTGTGAATAAACAGCAAAAATCTTCTATAACATGCTGGTTGTTACTAGTTATTTTCCCCATGCTCAAACTTCGGCAGTCTCCTCTGAAGAAGCAAAGAATAATGGATCTAAATTCATTGTTTTGCTTTCTATGCAAAACATAATGTTGCATGGGGAAGTCTGCATTTAAAGTAGCAGCTCCCAAACCTTTCTCCAGAGTCTTCTCCCATATAATAACAGCCTTTTTTCACTTTTCACTATCCTTAACTTGAAGCAGCAGGTGTAGTGGGTAAAAATCAGTTCCTATGCTGATTTGGGCAATGACTTCAATGAGAATGTGGCCAAGTTACTGGTTATAAACAAAATAGATTTATTTCTTATCAAAGAAGGTAAATATGCCTGAAACAGCTATGTGCCACTTTATTGCTACTTATATAGAATCTGAGGGAAAATATCTCTATCATTTGCTTTTCTGTTCTTCTGAACATACACTTATAAATTCTTGAATAGATATTAGCAGTGGTTAGTATATTGGTAATACCTTCACTGGAACCCATTTAAAGTTTTTCTTCCCTTATTTTAAATAGTGTGCCTGCAAAGCACAACTTCTGCTAGAATTTTATAAACATAATTTTTAAAGGCAGTTGTAGATTTAGAAGTAGCTTTAAGAACCTCCTCCTTGTTCTCCTAAAAAAAAAGACTGAAGCCAAATTTTAATTTATGTTGCATCTCCAGCAGGATCATAATTCATTGTTATTTATTTCCAAGTCACCATTCTTTCAGGTATTGGGTTATATAAAGTGTAAGATGATATACAGTACTCTGTGGGTTCCAACTTAGAAACTGTGACTTACATATTAGTTATTATTGGGATATTTTCCTGTTCTCTTGTTTAGGGGTGTTACAGATTCTCTGCACAACCTTTTGTACTCTACATAATCCTCCTCAGGTCATTTACAGAACATCATCAGGGAAAAAAAAAAAAAGCTTTATGTTATTTTACACTGTTCAAGTAGTGAGAAATGTATTGTTGCTTTCCTTTGGGGTCCTGCATTCAAAATCAGTGGTTATATTGTATTATATATAATTGACTTTCCAGATAATACCTGGGGCAGATAAGGACTGATGTTACCCATGAATCACATGAACCCTCATAATTTGGTTACTGTTCCTTAACCAAAAGACTCTTCTTTTCCACAGTGTATAGAGCTAGTTAGAACCTGCGACGTTCAGGCCTGCTTTTGCAGGTTGAGTTGAGGCTCGCAACACCTCCAGGAGCTCCTGAGGGTCAGAGTTTATCTGCCAAGTGTTACCTTTTTTTCTACTAGCCAGCGTGGGGGTGATGGAAATTGCTTTCTCCCATGCTCTGTACTAGCCTTCTGTCTTACAAGGGACAATGGTGTAGAACTGGTCAGATCTCCCAGGTCCCATGAGAAAACGAAGCCAAACTGAAATTCAAACTGTTTTGGTGGCTGCTGCAGCTGACAGTGTGCAGAATGAACATTTCATTCACTGTTTTCCCAAATACTAATTGGTTTTATTGTTGTAAGTCCTAATCCTAGTCAGGGGCCACCTTGTATCCTGAAAACACAGCCAAAAAATACCGATCAACCTTCTTTAATTTTTCAATTAAAAACTGCTTTAGCTTCAAGTCTTAGAATTCAGCTGCCATCTCCAGGTCTCCATTTCTTCCATGCTGCTGCATCATCATAGCTTTTATTTTACTATCTCGTATCTTTTAAAATAACCAACTGCTTTCACACCATTAACTAGGTCCTCACTTGATTCCTCCCAGTCTCTCAGACTTGAGAGCAATAACCCTTACTCTTCCCAAAAAGCATTTTCTAGTTTCACTTAGAAGACAGATATAATCTAACTACAGTGAAACCAAGTTAACTTTGGTGGATCTACAAGCAACGCAGAAATCAAATGTGTATCACTAAGCATTTTGAGGGTACAAGCTTTAAATTACTTATACAGCTGGAAAATGCTGCCTTTTCTGGACAGGCTCCATTCTTAGTCTCATTTTTAATCCCCCATTTTAGTCTTCATGCCTTGTCATATGACACTTAGCTTTATTTACTCAGATCGTATCCTTCACTCACACATCTAGCTGAAAACCTAAATAAATTTTGAGGAGTGCATAGAAACATTCTGTGAAGAGACGTGATAAAGAATACAGCTTTTCTAGCCATTTGCTCTAGTAGGAGCAGCTTCATCTTAGTCTGCCTCCCTGAAGGCAATTTCTTTCCCTCTCAAAACAGAAATCCGTAATGGCTCAGAATTACAAATCCAAACCCCAGCAAACTCTAGACAAAACAAAAAACTCTGTGTTATCTGTTGATATGTTTCACTAACAGAAAATGCATAAATCAAATGGTTACACAAATGAGTGCCTATCTTCACATATACAATAGTCAGTCTGTTTTAAATTCTCTCTGAGCTATAAATTGTCACTTATCGCTGGATTATATTTGTTAGAATGCTTTTGAGGTTCACTGAATATTTTTTGTACCTTTTTGCAATGACTTCTCTTTTCTTCTAATATATGTACCATACTTAGCTATATTTGTTGAATTTTTTTTAAGCAGAGTGTCTAACAAATACTTAGAATTTACTTAAAGCTTGATAAATGGGAGTTACATGGCAATTACCATCAATCTGTAGTATTAGGTCAGTTTTATAACATTAGAGCTGTGCCTTCTTGAGTATCTAACACCATCTATTATGATGTTTTCTGCTAAAATAATGTTAACACCTGATTACTTAATTTTCTAAAATTACTTCAATTTTTATTTCCTGCCATATATCTCTGTATCACTTAGTGTCATTTGCTAATTACTTCTAGCCATGTTTTCCAGAATTCTCACATTTAAATAACTGATTCACCCAGAGATCCCTTTGTGTTTTCATGGAATTCAGTTTCTTGGCTCAAAAATAAACTTACGCAGTACTGAATTCTTATATTATTACGTCATTAATAGAAATATATTAGAGATCTTTAAAATAACTTACAAAGGCTGTTTCCTTTGTATGTAGCATTTACCAGTATACAAATAGTATGTTTATAAAATGAGAACTTGCCAATATATGATAATAGCTCTTTTTATTTTTCTTTCTCAACCATGAAGTTAAATGGAGACTAATCGTTGTGCTATAAAGAAAATTAGTAAGGCAGCATTTGGGAGCTAATGACTGCTCAGGGAAAGCTGACAGCATGTTCCTTGGGAACATTCAACTCGTGACCAAAGCTCTTTATACAGGGTGGGAGACATCCTAATGTTGGAGCTACATACAAATACTAATTATCAGTTATGGCATTTATAGGACATCTGTCTTTGGAGCACACTGTATTTTGTGTGCCTTCTAGCTGAGACTGACCACTTAGTACCTTTTCTCATTATTTGGCTGTCATTTCCAGCTACCAGTCTCTCCAAAGTAAACAGTTTTCTTGCTTCTCTTAGTTTTCATATGTGATGAGATTTATTCCCAGCTGCCTCTGTAACAAACTGAAGTGATTCCAGCCACTGCAGTTGGATTTTTTTGTTTTGGTTTGGTTTTTCTTTTCTGTAACTAATACTTAAGAATCAAAGCGACGTGTTTGTTTATGAGTTTGAGTGTCCTAGTGCACAGCTTCCCTCAGTGTATTCTTGAATATAAAGCTGTGCCCACGCATGTGCACATCCAGATGCATGCCCATGTGCGCACTGGCACACATTAGTCTCTGTGCTTCCAGCATAAAACTAATTTGAATCTGAATGCAACAGTCATCACCCTTGCAAATTCAAAAGCCACCCACTGAATGGATGTTATTGTTCTGTGTGTAACTTGTGCTGAGGATACCACAAATTGCAAACAGGCTACTGAGTTGTAATATCTTTGAAAGTTGTTGCGGCGGTTGTTTCTTAAAATAATGAAAAAAACCCGACATCCAGCCATTCACTAAGTCCAACTGGCCAGACCCATGGCCAGTGCTATCTCCTTCTGGAAACAAATCATGGGAGAACATAATATTTACAAGTTTCAATTTTTGCTGGTGTAAATAATCAAACTTTGGGCCTGATCCTGTTCTCAATTACTTAAATTAATTAATGACAGATGTCCAAAATCAGAGTGAAATTCAACCCTCAAGAGAGAATTCCCACAAGGCCTTTATATAACTGTTTTAAAGGACTTAAGTGATGCTTAGGCTCTGTGCTGGCCCTCTGCAAAGAATAAATTTTACCCAGAATGCTTATTGCTTTGATCCCTTATATATAACTCACATTCTTAAGTTTGCACAGCCACAAAAGATCTATACAGAGCTAAATAGCCAGATCTTCAGCTGGCGTAAATTTATGTAACTTCATTGACCTACATGGAACAGTACCAATTTTCACTACTCTGGCTTAAAGAATCTCCATGGGATAGAGGTAAGTGCGTATGGTGGGTAAATGGATGAAAGGCTCTTCAAATGATGAAAGACTATATTGCTCTGGAAGTGATTTAAGTTAAACTGGAAAAAAGCCACTCCTTTTCCGGAATAAATCACACAGGGAGTATAATTATGCAGTTAAATTTCTTCTCATGCAGTCAAGCTTGAACTTGCCACCACATTTGTGTAAGAAATGAAATGTTTCCCATCTCTCAGCAATATGCTAAATTCAACATTTAACACACATATATATGCAAGCTATACAAGTATACGTACAAATAGATTTCCATCCTTCTTTATTTTGAAGGGAAGAGTATTTGTAATTTTCTGTCTTATTCTGAAGACCAAAAACCTGGCCTGGACCTGTGCTCCATATCACCTTGCTGGTAATAAAGAGGGTGATTTCTAGAACAATTTCAAGGGCAGTAAAGAAAATCTCTTATTTCCTGTTTTATGCTCTCTAGTCTACGTAACCTTTTTTTCCTGAACAGTGGTGTGCTGGATTTTTACCATCCTAAATACACTGTTACAGCAGGTAATCTTTAGAAATGCATGATGCAGAGCCACCTTACGGTATTGTTGATTCTTCTGTTTGTATCTGCAATCACAGAATGAGTGGATCATTCAGAGAACTGGTGTGCTTAGCATTGCTGAGTTTTAAAACCAAGAATATTTGTCTGTCATGGGAATTCCTATCCTACTGCAAGGCGCTTTTTTTCCCCCAGTTATGTATTTAAGTAGTAATTGCTTTCTTTCCAGCTGTTACACATCTGTATTGAAGGCTGGGGAAACTGGCGGTGGTCTGAACCATTCAGTGTGGACAATACAGGGGCCTTTATTCGTACTATTCAGTACAAGGGCCGGACAGTAAACTGTTATCTATTCATGAATTAGTCACCTTATTATTTATTCTCTCCTACTGGGATCTTTAAAAAACCAAGTATAACAGTCTTTTGGGGGCATTTTTGGGAGTTTTTACAACTCTCTTCTTCACTTTGGTAAGGATCTTAGCATTTAAAAGCTCAATTACCACCACATATTTTACATGTTCCAGTAAACATCCCTTTGCATGGTTTGTAAGTTCTGACAGTGCTAAGTTACACAACCTCTTGCATGTTTTAAGCTCTTGAGAAGCAGAATTCTTTTTTTTTTTTTTTTAAGAAATTGTTCATCTCTTATTCTGCGTTGTAATTCAGGCCTTTTTATTGTTAAAAGAGAAAGAAGTAATGACCAAATTAACATTTGAAAATGGACTGCTGTGCAGTAACTTTTCACATACTATCTTTGTAAAGAGATCTGTAATAACACTGCAGTCATTCTGCCTGCGTTGGCGGAAGCCAGAGCATGTGGTGGACATAACATGTTCAGCTCATGGATATGGCAGAGCGCCTTATGTTGCGCAACTAAAATACAGCTGATCAGACAAGAACAGTGCCTGGCATCACTGAAAGCCCTGCTGAGATTTTGCTTGGTAGATTGTAGCTATGGTGTGCGCCCTCATTAATGAAAAGCAAATGAAGATGGTTGTAGCAGGGATACACGTGGAACACTGTTCTTTGGTATAGCTTAGAAAAAGTCAGACACATGTTCTGTGATAAACAATTCATGTGTGATGGACAGCAACAACTCTGAGTGTAATTTGGTCATTTCCTAGGTGGGTGCACTTAAATACAGATATATGGCACAGCCATTTAATGGAATTACAAGCTTTAAAACAGCAAACATACTGAAAGGTCTGGATCACTGGATTGTGATGGGAATGTGAGGTGTCAGTAGAAAGCTTTCTTCTGAAGTACATCACTGTGTCTGCTCAGAAAGGGCTCAGCATTCAGACACCATCACAGTACTCTTAAAATCCAACCAGAGCTATGTCAGCTGTGGGCAGTACTGCTGAGTTCAGTAGGAACGAAAGTGGATAATGTTACATGTTTCTTTCAAGCCCGGATACTGCCTTAGCAATATTTCAAGTGTTTTAATGCCTAGGTTTCTATGAAATTGCACATACATTTGGCCAATAAAAATAATGTTTTACCATTCACTGCCTTCAGCAGTGCTTGGGAAAATCTAAAATAGGGAGATTATTCTTGTACAGGTTTTCACTCTATAATTCAATTTTGACCTTTCTTTTTCACAATTGTTTATGTATGAGCTGCATATTTTTGTGTGTTTTAGATCCTAATCTGTGGAAGACAGACAGTCTGTAGTTACCTTTCCGAAAGTATTGAACTGAAAGTGGTTCAGCATTACATTAGTCAGGATGGACAGGCCGTTGTTAAAGAACACGTCAACTGCCTTGCAGCCAAGCAGAAGTTGCCTTCATATGTCCTAGAAGACAATGAGCTCACTGAGCTGAGTGTGAAAGCTACAGGAGATGAAGACTGGTCCCGAGACGTATGTCTAAGTTCTAAACATACAGAACACAGCACTGTCATTCAGGTACAACTAGAAATAGGCATATGGAATATAGCATAAAAAATGTCTGAGAGAACTGGGGACTTTGCGTTTAGACTTCTAATTGATATGATGAAATATTGAACATTATCATCCTGAAATAATTTTAGTGTAATGCTGCTGACCTCTCTGCATACAGGTACCATCTTCAAAGAGTTCAATTACATATGTGTGGTGCACAATTTTGACTTTAGAGCCCAACTGTCATGTGCAGCAACGATTAGTAAGTACATTTAATGTCTCTGAAATCTAAATGTTTATGCCTTGCATGTCATATAATAAATTAAGGGCAGAATGACCCACTTTAAAGATTTATTAATAGCTTGTTTCAACGGTTGTAATACTGGAATAAAACTAGCCTTAAAGTGGCATATTCTTTTCTTTTTGTAGATTGTTTTCAGCCCTTTTTTCATTGTAAGGAGCCATCTTCCAGACCCAATTATCATACATTTAGAGAAAAGAAGTCTGGGACTGAATGAAATGCAAGTGATTCCAGGGAAAGGACAGGAGAAAGCACTGCAAAATATAGAACCTGATCTTACACACCACCTGACATTTCAAGCCAGGTAAAATACTCACTTTCCTTGAAAATGGTTCATTTGTACGGAAAAGAAGGAATAATTTACACTTCAATTTCTGGTGCATTTTTTCCAAGACAATGGCATATGCAGAGGAGATACAACAGAACAAGCATATGTGGCCTGAAATGATATGATAGGAAATATTAAATTTGGTATAACTGTCCTAAGCACATTGGCATTTGCTTGCTTAAGCAGTCCACATTTTTGTGTTTTGAAAAATAAATTCATAAATGACCTGGAAATGTTTTTTGAGAATACTGAAGAGTTTCTAAGGTCTCGGACACAAAGACCATTGCAGTGTCATAACAAATTCATGCATGTCAGTTAAAGCTCAGGAACTTGTTAGACATCGTAACTTGATTCATCCATGATTACCTTGAGAGTGTTCCTACGGCAGAGTACGCTTAGAAGGCTTCATTAAAGAAAATGTTAGTGCTACTAATGCTTGATCTTGTTGTGTAAGTGACTGAATCTGTTTTCAATGACAGGGAGGAAGATGATCCATCAGAGTGCGCAGTCCCTATCTCAACCACGCTAATTAAACAGATAGCGACTAAATCCCATCCAGGTGGCAATGTCAACCAAATACTGTCCGAGTTCTATGGCACTGCTAATCCTCCCCAGCCTGCATGGCCATATAATAGGAAGGATTCAGACAGGTAATTCTTTGCTAAACCTTCTTCATGGTTGTTGCATGGCCTTTTCAAATAAACTGAAATCACGTTCAAGAAGACTGTATGTGATCAACGTTGAATATGTTTTCAGTAATTACATGATTCCTGTATGTAAGCTGCAGAATCTGTTGCAGGTGGGGAAAAAAGTGAGGTCAGCCTAGGGGCTGCCCTTGATTACACTGAGAAGATTGCATCAGCAAGGATTAAAAAAATTGAACCAAAAAAAATGCACCTTCTTTAGCTCTAGAGGCCGTTGTTTATTCAGTAGCTGTGTGTTTCAGTATAGAAACAGGGAGTTGCTGTAGGAGGAATTGCTGAAAAAAAAAATGGAAAAGTGATTTTATGACTACAAAAGTCATGGGTTTAGTTCCGAAGGATAGTGGTAATTTTGTTAAGGTGTTTCTTCAATTGACCAAATTTAGGTTGAGCTTATGAAGTTAAAAATATGTCTTTATAGCCTACATGTAGCTAGATCTGTCCGACAGCATCTCAGTATGTTCCAGAATGATAAGGTAAGAGGAGATTGTTTTTCTATTTCAAATCCAGAAAAGCCTTGCAAATTTCTGAAAATGACAGCTTATCATTTGTAATCTTGAATTCATTATTCCTTTGACTTTCTCTTTTTGTTTATTTGTTTTTGAACAGCAATGAACAACTCTCCCAATGGGATAGCCCAATGCGGGTAAAGCTGTCAGTGTGGAAACCGTGTGTTAAAACTCTGCTGATAGAACTCCTGCCCTGGGCTTTGCTTATCAATCAGTCCAAGTGGGACCTCTGGCTGTTTGAAGGAGAGAAGATCATTCTTCAAGTACCTACTGGGAAAGTAATTATACCTCCCAACTTTGAGGTAACTTTGCTATTCACGTTAACAGGCACAGTTCTGCTAAACATTCTGATTCTGAAGAACGGTTATTAATCCAGATGATTCCCACTTTCCAGTCACTGTGTCTATTAGTCATATGATGAGGAGCAGAAATAACAATAGAAATTTGCCACGCTGACTGAGCCACCGAGTGGGTAGCATGACATACTTGATAGCAATGTCTGAAGAACAACATGTCTTAAAGATGCATAGTTAAAAATTGTCTGTAAGACACTGTAGGAAGGAGACCTGCATGCCATCTGATTCAGCAGCCTTCTCTCCTTCCTCCCAATTCAGCCAATGAATCCGCAACATGGACATAATGTAGCAGCCCAAGTAAATTGCTATAAAGGCCAAATACAGACTTTGGCCCGTGCTCTGCCGACCTATCACTTGGGAAGTGTGTTGACCACAGTAGCAAAGCTGACAGCCTGGAAGGAATGTTTGGTTTGGGAGTGTTTTAGGTCAAGTTGTTTCATAGCTCGTGTGCTACCAAGAAAGGTTTGATAAATGAGATATGGTGAATTACGAACAAGGAAGATTCTTTAGGATGCCTGCCTTCCTTAATTCAGAGCTTTGTGTAATGGATCTTCTCACACACCTTAGCTTGGCCATGCACATGCTTTTTTATTACAACCCCAATATTCTCTATTTGTGAAAGAATTAAAATAATTTGATACAGGAGCTTGTCAATTCCAATTGGACAATCTGATACTTCCTGTTCATTTTGCCATCTTTTTTCCCCCCATGTATGTCTGTTAATAAACAAAAGGTCTGCCTATTAACATGTCTCAGTGAGACTGGTCTTGATTCCACCGTGAGGGTCAGTCCCATATCTGCATTGTGATTTCATGTATCCTTGTACCACATAGAAAGTATCAGAGGGAGAAAGGGAGGAAATGAGATTGACTTCATACTGGAAACTATGCTTAACTCTAGTAGAAGTGTATCAGAACTGTCAACAAGTGATAATCAGTCATTTTTCACTTGCAGGAAGCTTTTCAGGTTGGAATATACTGGGCAAACACTAATACTGTGCACAAATCAGTGGCAATTAAACTGGTTCATAATGTGACGTCCCCGAAATGGAAGGATGCCGATAATGGGGAAGTAGTAACATTGGATGAAGAAGGTTTTGTTGAAGCTGAAATAAAACTTGGTGCTTTCCCAGGTCATCAAAAGGTTAGAAGAAAATTATCATGATTTATAACTTTATCATTTAAAAAGAAAGTCATATAGCAGATGAAAACAATCAAATGTATGCAGTGTGAAAGCTCCTCCCTAATTATGTTAATACGTGTAAAACATAATGAGAGTGTAAACAATATATGAAGTATAATTTAAAGAATTAGATTGCCAAAAACATTCTGCTCAACTCATCAAGATAATACAATATCTGCTGGAAAAAGAATTAATGAATTCTCAGTCTTGTTTGGAAAACATTGACAGATGCAACTTCAAAAGTATGTGATGTTAACTTCATAACTCCAGTTATGAAGTGCATGAATACAGGCAGGATTTCCACAGTTAAAAAGAAAATGGCAGTTCTGTCACTCTGTTCAATACCTTTTGTGGTTTTGTGTGTGACCTCATCATAGTTTTTATTATTTTACAGTTGTGTCAATTCTGCATTTCTTCGATGGTTCGACAAGGTATACAAATTCTACAGATAGAAGATAAGACAACATTAATCAATGATACATCATATCAAATCTATTATAGGCCACAGCTTTCTATTTCCAAACCCCACTCAGGAGAAGAGGTACAGCACTGTGGAAACTGTTTTTGTTTGTCATCTGCGATACATGGGTGTTTAGATTTGTATGGTCTCAACTGCATATAGCAGAGCTTGAACAGAAATCCTTAGACATAATAATGATAAAGTATTTTACATCATCTTAATTTAAAATACAGAATCCTGGGTAAATTCAACTCCAATAATTAACTGTGATCAGAAATCTGTGCAAAGCAGGAGATTCTTGCACATTGCAGAATTAGTTCTGCCTGTTCTCCATCTGTTCAGGCACTAATGGCCATTTCTATAAAATAGGCAGCGTAATCCGTAGTAGCTGTTGAAATTGTTCTCAGAATTTTTACTGAGTTCGCGTGTAAAAGAGGTATATTGGCCTGGCAGGCTGAAAACTTTTTGTTATCCTTTTGGGAAGATTCCAGTTATCTGAACAAAGCTGCAGAACTAGAGACGTGCCCGAAGTTTATGTATTTCAGCGAACTGCATCAAATCATGCATATTGGTTTTCTAATAATCACATAGTATATTTAAGAACTAGCTTACAGGAACCAAAACGTATGCATGGTCAATATATTTTAATCAACCATTTATACATATTTATTGAAGATTACATTTATAGTAAAATATGTGGAAAGAATTCTCAGGGTCAAACTTGCTAGAGGAGTTGGCAGATAAACAAATTTTTCAAGTTCCCTATTTCTGTATTCTTTTCCTTCTGCATTAGTTTTCTTCACATCGGTATCTGCGTTTGTGCATTGCGAATTTTGTGGCAGTCTAATGGGATGGTGAATTGGAAGAATGTTGAGGCTAAAATCCATTCTTAGTTTTTTGTCTACAAATGGATTTTCTTCTCACAGTTATGTTACAGTCATGTAACTGTTGCTTTTGGTAAAGTTATGTTGTGCAACTGAGAGTGGACTGTAGATAACTGAGCTCAGTTAACTGCATAAGTATACCTGAAGACAGAATCTGGCCGAATAGCTTTTAATGCAATGGACTTAGTGCGACCTTTAGCTAGTTGTGGTCAATTGGCTACTTGAGACTGTTCTGTGCAAGGTCAACATGAATAAACTTCCTGTTAGGAGCCAGCATGTCGTGCTACCGCCATCTTTTTTCTTTCCAGGACTTCCACTCATCGGACAGTACGGTGTTCAGCATCAGTCCAGCTGGGGCACCACCCAGCAAGACGCTGAGCGCTGTGCCCTGCTGGGACCTGATGTCGGACACCAGTCCCTTAACTTCAGGGCCACCTCTTAGTGAAAAACGCATACAGCTGAGTTTCAGTCCAGGCGGCTGCACTGGGAGTTGTGAGCTGTGGAGCCTACCAGCTGTCATTAAACAGGAGTTTCCTAGACAGAGCGTGGCGGTGCCCACAGGGGTTTGTAGTGAAAGTGGATTTTGTACCAGGTACTGTATACTGAACAGTCATGAATAATGAACTTTGCTTGTTGCTATAAAGCCTCAGCTAGTAACAAACCATAAGAGATTAATGCAAAAGTCAGAGTAACACGTGCCCCCTGTATGTAAAGGCAAGTCTTACTTCAATTTAAAAATTGTTAAGTTTTGATGGTTTTGATGCTTTTATTGTAACTGGTTTAATGTTATGGCCATGTACAAGCTGTACAGTTTTTATAATGTATGGGCTGCTATTTTTTTACATGCATACAAAATAAGAGCATGAAAAGTTTATATTCAAGGTTATGGTCTCTTAATTTCTGGGTAACAATTTAAGAGTTCAAGGACAGCGTGAAATAATACAATACAAAAATTTAGGTTTTGTTTATAAAAGGTAAAAATATATTTTAGTAATAATAATAAGAGGATAAACAGGAAAAGCAAAAAAGGGATGAAACTATTTTGAGACTACAACAAGGAAAGATTTCCAAGTTTTAAAGCTTGAAATGTCCAAATGTGCATTCCACTTACAAACAAATGCATCCAGCTAGTTAAAAATAACAGTCCAATGACTTGTCAGATGCCCAGCTTTAATTCTCAGACCTGATATCTGAATCTATTCATGCTTATGCTGGTATAAACAAGCAACAATCTGCTGAAATTAGAGAAGCTACATCAGTATATATTACCAGCCATATGATCTTTCTCTTGCCTGAAGTGCTTGATATCATTCAAACCCTCATACAGTTCCTCTGCAGAGTCTAAGAGGTTATATTGTGGATACTAAAGATTCTCACACAGACTTCAGATGAAAAAAACCTTAAAATGCGAAGAACAAGGAAAGGATTCCTTATAATTCTGAGACAGGCATGGAGGATCTCATGTTCCTAATCAAATTTTCAGACTGGATTTTTAAAATCCCCATGAAGTGAAGTTTTTTAGAAATAGCCAATAAATTTGCACAAGAAAAAAAAGAATTTGTGTTTATGTATGAAGACATTTCATGTAGCTAATGAGTAGAACTAAATTAGTTTATTTTCATTTTGGAAATTTATGTAGTGATGATCCATAACACTAACATTTGAAAGGGCGATAGCATTGTGGATCATTCCAGGGGAGCAGTCAGTTACAAATTTATGTGTTTGTTAAAAATATCTTTCATGTGTATCAGAGAAGTATGCGTGCAAATTCTTCTGGAAAATTTTAAAGATTTATGTTGAAAATTTGGGCCTACAATCTCATGTTTTTAATTTAATATAAATCTCTGCTGGCTAGGGCTCTCATCTTGCAAACACACGTGCTGAATTTAACTCATGAGTAGTCTCTATGAAGTGATTTCTTCTCTAACGTTGTTTTTCGTGCTATTTCCACGTGTTCTTCTGTTTAAATATAATTCTCAGAGATATGTACTTGCCTAAATGTATATAAATATCTGTGGAATTGGAGCTCGATCATAAAGAATCTTACAGATGCTGGTTTCGAATGTTTTTAATTGTCCGGAGTAATAATATGTAAAGATTTCATCCAAATCATGCATAATCAAATATATCTGCTTCTGTTTTAGAGCTATAGCACTGACTTACCAAGAGCATCTTGGCGTGACGTACCTAACACTTACAGAAGATCCTAGTCCTCGTATAATTATCCACAATAGGTGCTCCATTCCATTGCTTGTAAAAGAGAACTTCAAAGGTAGGCACTATGCAGTAATTAGAAACAGTGCACTGTTGTAGTATAAATTATTTTACTGTATCTCCAATACAAAGTTGAGTTCAGTATGTGTTTTGGTTACAACAAGAACTTGACACCCTCGTAAAGGTCTATCTCAAAGTGAGAGACTCTGGAAGATACTGAAGCCTGGAAGCTAGTGGAGCTAATCATGAGGTCAGGAGTATGAACTCACATGGCTCCAGGCTTTTGGGTCTCCCTGGTTCCAGCTGTCAAGGTGACTTGGCTGTAGGAAGCTAGTAGGCAGTGGAGTTTTGTTGACATCAGTTCAATCCCATGGAACATTTAAATCTCCTCAGATTTGCAAATGTAACACAAAACATATTGCCAAAATTCCAGTTACAGTATGTTAATGTAATGATCAGTGGAACATTATTTGTGTACCTCTTAACGACATAAAAAAGAAAAGGAAAAAAACCCGAACACATAAAATTCCAACCAATAGAAAAGTAATGTTTTTATTTATTAGTAATATTTCAGACAAAATTCCTCATTTGTGTAAGCATAGGTAGTTTTGATTTAATACAGGTTTTAGAAAGCCCTAATCTTGTATATTTTATAAAATTTCAGATACACCAAAGTTTGAAGTTTATTGTAGAAAGATTCCAGCTGAATGTTCAGTTCATCATGAACTTTACCATCAAGTCTCCAGCTATCCAGATTGTAAAACAAGAGATTTGTTGCCCAGCATTCTTCTGAAAGTGATGTCGTCCGATGAATTAGTAAATGAATGGAGTGATTTTGTGGACATCAACAATCAAGGAACACAAGTAAATTGTTATAAACTATTTCCTAGTTCACAGCATAAGTGGTTGTCTTCCTGACCTGCACAGTATATTGTTCCTCTGCAATAAGCATATCCTTTTGGTTGGTTTGGGGTTTTTTTATTTAAGTCTTAGGAGCTCTTCTTCCTAAGTCCCTTCCTGTGGAAGTTTTAGAATACAGACTACCTTCTTCAATGGCTGTTTTTAAAAATAGCTAGATCAAAATTACAGGCTTTCTAGTGCTGAATTTTATTACTTCTTTTTAATCAACCTGGTGTTCCCTGGAAAAATCAGTCCTGAAAATTTCTGGCCCTGTAAGCAAAGAATCCCACAGGATCTAGGAAAATCCTTCTATTTGGTAACTTAATTATCACAGGATTTTTATCTTTACATCTTGTAGGAATCATCACTGTCATTCTCCCTCTGTGTCTTCATAGAAGGCTACACATGTCATTCTAAAACACGACAAAAAACCCTTTTCTTTCCTTCTGTTATTTTTCTCCTGTTCTGAGGTAAATGAAAACTTCCTTGACTGGAGTAATTCTTTTTGATGGGAATTTTTTCCATCTTTGAAGTCATTAGTTTACATGGAATCAACATAAACTGCTTGGCTCTTTGAAAGAAATACTAGTTTCAGATGTTTTCCCTGGGGACCAATCACAAAATGCTCTTGATTATTGAGTGTTATGTTATATAGCAAGTAGTTCAGTTTCATTCAGCAAGCCAGTCAAGCAATGCAAGGTTTCAGATTTCAGTCATTAATGTTATGCCAGACCAGGGTTCTTTATAAGTATCTGGCTCCTAGAAGGAATTAGATGCTAAGACAACATTTGGGGATCATTGTCTACTTGAAGAACTCTTCAAATAAAAAGTGTAGCCTTCTGTTATTGAAGTTCTAGGGTTTACATGTAGAGAATTTCCCCAGGATTTCTCAGTCAGTCTTTCTCTTAGAAAACTATAAATACAAGTAAATAAGGAATATGCTAATAGCTTCACATACAACTCAGTTTAGATTGTGAAATAACTGGGTTTTAGAGGATCTTAAGTAATTTGTACTCTTTCTACCTAGTCACAGATAGGTGGTACTTATTCTATTAGAAAGAAAATTGTATTAATTTTACTAAAATTAAGCTATTTATCTTTATCATCAGAATCATCTGAAATTGGAATTAAAATGACCAATCTTTAGGATCAACAAGGGTTTTTTAGAATAATGAGGGTGTATTGAAAATTGAATAAATGTCCTTTTTTCTCCAATTCCATCATGCAGGATTGCGAATCTCTTTTAGATAAACCAAGGATTAAAACTGATGTATCGAAATTAGAAATTCTCTTATATGTAATTCTCAGAAGAATAAGACATAATTAAATTTTGTTCATCAAATTATCTGTACAAGGTTATCATAAATAGTGTAACAAGAATCAGTTTAAGTGCTGATTCTACTATACTTCCGAGTGCTTTTCCTTCTGGTGACTTGTTGACAGCAGTACAGATTCTTCAAGACAAACAACTGTTTATTTTACCTGTGCTAGCCCATTATCTTTGAGTTTTCCCTTGAGTTTGCTTTCCTTTAAATTATAGCTTCTGTCATTACAATCTAGTAAACAATTGTGTTGATAGTAGCCCGACAAGAAAACAGAAGCCAGCTTGCTCTAACAAGGGCTGCTGTGAGTTTTCCAAACGTAAAAAGACCTTGATCTTTTATATTCTGGAAAAACACAAAACTTGCACAGAAATATTGCAGAATTAAGCTCCAAAAACAATACATCATTTCTTTAAGTAGAACATTTATTCCTAAGGACAACTTCTTCAGAATGAAAGTTTGCACATCTGTAAGCAAGACACAAACCTGTTGTCAAGTTCCCATTTTCCTGCCATTTCAGACATTTTACGCTTTCCAATAGACTTTTGCCATTTCTTTGTGGCAGCACCTTGCTTGTGAAGGTGTTCTCACCAAACCAGTTTAGATGGCTTAAAAATGTTTTAAGTGTTGAGTTGTTAAGCAAGTCTTCACGAATCCAAAATGTTACTTATTTTTTCATCTTCATGTGTTTTGCATCATGCTATCAGCCATTCATCTAACCAGCTCTGAGCTAGGGCATAGCAACATAATGTTTATTTAGGGTTTTTTTTCCAGAGGAGAAGGAGGGATTTTGCAGAGCTCCAGGAATATGCCTTTCTCCTTAATTCAAAATCACAAATTAAAATTTCCTATTTATTCTTTTTTCATATAACCTCCACCCTCCCCAGCACGTCTTGCTTATTTCTGGAGAAGTTGTTTCTTATTAAAATGTATTCAGTTATACAGTTAAAGGATGAGGTACAAATTTCATCTTGCTGTACAACTGAAATAAAGTATCAGAGCTGTTATTTTCTGAAGTATTGAAATCTGTTTCTGTTTTTCCTGAACAGTATCACGATTCAAGTAAAAGATCTTGACCAGAAGGCATTAATAGGATTAATTCAAATTATGATGTTGAAAATAGTAATTTCAGTAGCATTCCATACGTTTCTAACTCTCTCCACTAGATTGTGTTCTTAACTGGCTTTGGCTATGTTTATGTGGACATTGCCCATCAGTGTGGAACAACAGTCATAACGTTGGCCCCAGAAGGAAGAGCAGGACCCGTCGAGATCAACCTCAACAGGTACATAAAGCACATAAAAGATGATAAAAAGCACTGCCAAACAGTGCTGAAAGGTCATTTGGCTTTCTAAGCGTTAGCTGACTTACGAACTTTGGCTTAACTGTTTGTTTTGTTTAATACTGCTGCATGCTCTGTGGCATATGTTTAGACCATATGTTATGCTTTGTATATCACAGTTAAAAAAGGACAATCTAACATCAAAAGTCATGTCACTTTAGGGTAAACACTAGATGTCTGATCCGAAAAGAAGTCCTGAATTGTTCATTAAAAAAAGACATCTTCCATCATAATTAATTTTGAGTGTGTTCATCAGTTTTAAATGTATCTAGCTAGGTCCTGCCATCTGTAATCATACAAGCTCCCACTAAAATTGGTAGGAAGCTTGATGTGCAAGGGCTGTAGAAATAGTTTTACAGTCAGTAATTATCTGTACTTGATTATAACACTCTTCTTTAGAAGA